CTTATTTTGCTTAATGGTTAATCCAGCCCTGCCTTCACGCGAAAGTTTTCGGGCATTAATCAATTAGCCTATTTAATCATTAAGTTTTCGGGAATCAAAATTTCGTTGAATTTGCCTTCTTGTCGATGAAATAGAGCACGAGAATTCCCATGACTTTTCTTTTTGGTCTGGAGCTACTATCTGCATTGTGCGATATTTTTCGGCATCGATCATTATTCGTGTCATTTTAATTTTTCGGGAATCGGAATTCCTTTAAATTGACTATGGATACAAATTTGAAATCAGTGTAATAAACTGGAGGGCCTATCTTATATAGTATCTAGCATCAAGCTACAATACTCATTTTAGTTTTTCGGGAAGTGTAATTTTGGTGGCCTGTTTGACGTCAATTTTTATTATGAATTAATACGATGACATTGTGATTCAATCTAATTATTGATGCAAAGCATTAATTTTTATATCACATATATCATTATCTCGCACTTTGAGTGCCCATCCTGTCACACCATCTGGTGATAAAGGATAAAGCACAATTATGACACTTTTCTCACAAAAAAAGTTGTTTTACAAAAGGTTGTTTTACAAAAAAAAAATTATGTAGCTGAGCAGAGGGGGGGGGGTGGACCCCCCACCCCTCTGGATCCGCCCCTGAAGGCGCGCAGGGCGGGTAGGCAGCCTTGCCCTCATAAATGCAAAAACAAAAGAAAGTGGAAATGTTTGATAATGCTCGAATCCGATGAGATTTCCTGCAAGAGGTATAGAGGTATGTGAGGTTATGTGCCATCCCTTCCGAAAAAGCGACCACTCTTCTGAGTTTGGCAAAAAACTGCATGAGATAACGACGTGGGCTAATATTTGAGAGATTTTCTATTCTATTTCCGGATCCAACATCCAATCCATTTCCACGAAGCGAGGTGTTGACAAACATATCAACCATACTGACATACAAATTGCATTTGTGTGTGTCTGACCGACAATGACCAAGGGCGCCACGCCAACCGATCTGAATTTTTGATACATGCAGATTGCAATATTTGGCATCAATATATGATCACTACGTTTCAAATCACTAGAGTAAAACAAATGCACCAAGAATACCGACTGATTTTATTCAGACATATTATAATACAGCTTAGGACACATGTCTCCATTTCCGGATGGAGAATGTCGGGTTTAAATTGTTTGAAAATGTATCACGTATATTAGAGGATTTTAAGGGCTCTTAACACAAAATTAAGCCGTTTTATCCCCCAAAATATAATCGAGATTGGCCCTTTAAATTACTAGTTTACGAGCATTCCGCTCCATATTGATGTACACAATTTCCATTTTTTCACGTATTTCAACCTGTTATTTGTGATAATTAGACCTATATGCATCGTTGAGAGAATTTCATTAAAACAAAATGGTATAATATACATGTATTCGATTAGTATGTGTTGATCGAATGACAAGCAATTTTTGACATGTAATGACGGTCAATAGCTGTCGAGGTCAGTTAAAATATTGAACAAATACTGGGAAATTAATTTAATTAACGCAATACGCACGCACAGAGATTCCTGAGAAGACGAAAGAAATGAAATGAAATGAGGTTTAACATCATACTTTTCGGCACCCACAGACTGAAACGGGCGTACAACATACGTGTACACGGGACCTCGGGGTTTCGTCCCACCCGCACGACTAGACTTATCAGCCATTGCCAGGCCCTCGTCAAACCACGCTGGAAAATCCCGGATAACTTTATCGACCGAATCCCGAACTTCCTAGTTAGTGAGCAAGCATCTTACTCACTGAGCCACACCGACCCCCTAGAAGACGAAAGACACATAAATCAGAATAATATTGTATTTATGTACCCATATATTAATGTATATGTATCCAAGTGCAACGTATTACCGGTAATCTAAACTTTATTAAAGCGCATTATGGACGATTAGTTAAAGAGTTGACAGTTCGCGCTATAATAGTTAAAAATAGATAATGTAAAAGGGCTATGCTGAAAATTTCAGTCAAATTACTGCACTGTAAGCCGAGAAATCCTCGTTTTAAGAACACTGTAGCCTCTGTTGTCATTGTTACAGTTGTTACGATAATAAACAAAGTCTCGATTATCCACTTTTACGGTTGAACGGCAGATCAGATTCAAATATATGGAATAAGGGGAATCATCAGATGTCATTGAGATTTGATTATGGCCTTGTCATGTTAATAAAAGCCTAATTAATAGTTTACGCATGTATAACATTTCAGGCCTAAAGAAAGACCTGCAATTGGCAGATTTAGCTTTTGAATAATGTATGTTTAATTTTATGCACTTAGTATTTGAATTTGAACAGGAATTTTTTCAAATATTATACTATTGGAATTGCTTTCCATTTTTATACGTCCACATTCATAAAATGAAATGAAAATTGTGTTTAACGTCCTGCTGTTCTGCTGGGCCAATGAAGACGGATATACGCCATACTGTGTGCTATGAGGGAAATTTTGCCTGGTCAGCGGCACTATGGTCACTCTTATATCGAATTCCAACTGCCAAGGGATATTGAACGTGCACGCCAATGTATACACCGGACTTCAGGCCCTCCTTCCTGCACCACTGACAATGGGAAACCACGTCGGAAAATCCCAATAAACTGTCTCGGCCAATGCAGGGATCGGACACGCCACCTCCAGGCTAGCGAGCCAGTGTGTTAACCACCGTGGTTCCCGGGCGTATTATGCCGTCGCCACTGTCATCTGGGAAGCCGTAAGGACAGACAGAAACTATTGATTTTGGTGCATGCCACATTTCCTAGGGGCGATACCACACCCATTTTCTTGTTAATATTTTGTGCTCTACGGGTTGCAATTACTAACAGATTTTACTCAAGTTCGGCGTCGTAATCATTTCAGTAACAGGGTTGTACCTACCCCCAGGAACAGAGCCACGCCCAATTTTTCTATTGATTTTGTTGCATACCCCGATTTGTGTTTATCGTCTACAGGCCGCAATTCTGAGAGTATCATCCCGGAACATGACATATTTATTGATTTTGGTGCATGCCAATCCGATATACCAATGATTTTTTTTTCACAGGGGGCGAATTTCTTTTATGGTCGACAATGTTTTCACGGTGCCCCCCCCCCCCCCACCTACGGGCCTGGAACTGTAACGTGACGTGACGATTTGCATAAAAGATTTCTTACGAAACATTAGGCATTATATGGTGCATTTTAGAAATAACTAGTATCAGTGATCTACATAATTGTATATTATGCCGTTGCCCTGTGTGTGTGTCCGTGTGGCGCCTGCAGGTGGCAATTCTTAACGGATTGTCTTGAAACTTTGCATGCTTATTCCTTATACCCTAAGGCTAATCCCTATTGTTTTTAGAGCATGCCCAAGTACATATTTTTCCGTTATAGAATTCCTAGGTGTTTACATAACCACGGAAAAGCGTTGCCTACTTCACGTAGAACAGTCAGTCAACTGCCAGACTTGCTAATTCACAAACGACAAAATAATAATATACACGACAGCAATTTAATGCCGAGCTTAATATCTGAATTTATTTTTCGAGATGCCGCACCCATTCAGACAAGCACATATATCTTCATAGACCTTCGATGTTTGAAATATTTACAGAACAATAAAAACGAACTAGTCCATATAGCAGGGAGTTTGATGAGATAAGATTTAACCAATAAATACACTTCAATAGAAAGTCGATAGCTAACTTCATTTCTATCACTATTCAAACAAATAACCACTAATGTCTTCAAAGATTTATAAACAGCGTGACCGATTTAGCTATCACCCTTCAACAGATTGTGTTCTGTCCCTCTATCGAGTACAATAATTGTTACCATAAAACTGGAAAACAAATGAATTGAAATGCGGTTTCTGCATCAACCGTGATAATTTAATAAAGACTGAACTGGAACAATTTCTGTAGATCATGTACAATCTCAGAACATGAGTTTTAGTCTATACATGTATATGGGATACTACCAGTGCCGGATTGAAGCCTAAGGCCTGAAGGTGTAGCGGACCTCCGGTCAAGGTTTTTAATATTTCTGACACTTTCATAAGTCTTTCTTACATTTTCTGTGGTCTTAAATATCCGTCATCATCCTCGACTTTCTTCAATTGTGTTTAAAACACGCTTCGATCTTTCTCTAGTCCTGAGGTTGGGGGATTGGGATGGGCCTCGTACGTGGAATAAGAGGGTCTCTCGTCATTTATATCCGGCCTTTGATGGATTGTGAGCGGTTTGACCTGCCAAGAACATCATGATATTGTGGACGTCTACTCATTCATTTATTGTGAATAAGGCCTCCCCTATACCCGTCAAATGCAACTATCGCTGATACTTTTAAAGAGGCAGTTACTCACAATATTGTCCGATCAACGATCAACCAAATGTATTAATCCTTCATATTGTTTATTTCTCAGCTAAGATAACGCAAAGCATCAGAAATATATTGATAAACGTATTTAATATACTTGTATGTAAAGCTGAAAATGACACAGAAATTAGAAGATGGTCAGGCGGACGAAAGTGCGACTACTCTGGCCAAACGCCACCTACCCCACCCCTCCATAACATTGGACGGAAGTGCAACTGGTTTGACCAAAAGTCACCTACCCCCCCCCCCCCCCCAACCTCCGTAACATTGGACGCATAACCATAGTAGATAAGTAAATGTCTCTTATAGTAAAGTGACGAAAATATCATAAACCTCAATCCGCTTTGCTTATTTAGATATAAATGACAAGACCTTTTTGATATTGGTCAAAAATGATATTGTCAATTAAATGTTGATGTGGTTTGTTGATCGACACTCTTGTCTTCGCTGTAAACTTTAAGTCTATTGATAAAGCCAGTAATGAAGTATAATCAATCGTGTGTTCCACTTTCGACACAGTAAGCCAAAAATAACACTGAAATTAGTAAACAAGTTTGCACTATATCTTTTGATAAAACATTTAATCACATAGAGTTTGCCCTATCACTAATAGAAGTATAAATATAATACATTAAATGAACGCAATCCAATCCAATACTTTGACGTAAATGAAAGAGGGTTTAACCCCGAAATTATAGTTTTAATGAGTAATACGAAACAAATGTATTAACTTTTAATTCATTACAAAATAATTAATTAAATAACATGTCATCATTACAAGAATTCATAAAACTATGGATATAATATACATATTCCATTGGTCACTGTAAATTTGTAAGACTGTTTGGCCCTACGGACACGCACGTGATGCCTAGAAGGTAGACGATTTTAGATTAAGATTCGCAATTTCACTTTTTTTAGCCTGATCAATTTACAATGAAGATGTGACATACAGGTTGCATATGAACGTATACTAATATGATGTCCCGATTTGGACTATGGATTATTATTTCCAGACACTGTCCGTCTGCCAGTCAACCCTCCTGTCCTGATGATTACGTCCTTTGCTATTGTCATTATTCGATTTGGTAATACTTGTGAATATCGGCAAATCTATTTATGGAGAACACTGCGAACACTTTAGTGACAATGATTCGTAGTATTAATAATAGTAGTGCCGTAACAGGTGGTAGAAGTAGATAGTAGTAGTAGTAGTTGTAGTAGTAAGCAGCAGTAGTAGTAGTAGCAGATAGCTTAATGTTTGCTTCCATCCAGTGATATGCAGTAAATAAAATTTGTAGGTTTTGCCTTTTAGTTACACGCGACAACCTTTACGGACTGCTCATACAACAGCTTTGGTGTACGTGTGTTTCATTACCCGTCAACCGATCTTTATACTTATAAAAGTATAATTAACATACGATCAACACAAATAATCCGTAAGGTATATATATATTTATCGTTATGTTCCAATATCTTAATACTAGTAAATTTTTAAAAAACTAAAACAAAAAGCCCCAGAACGCCACAGCGTGTTTCAGGCGCCTTCGCGGGCTTATCAAGATGTTTAGATAACACACAGGTACTTCATAATATAACATAATACTTCAAATACACAAATTATTAACAAAGGGTTGATCACATCCTTGAGCGCCATTATCTGTTTTCTTTGCCAAAAGCAGATGTAGTCTGTTCTTAAAGGGAAGTACATAGGACACAGAAAGGTGTAAAGGTACACGAGCAAAATCCCACCCCCTCCCTGTTACACAACTAAAATCGTATCATTTAAACTCCCGGTAGGGAAAATAATTTGGTTTCCGATTAAGTACATGTATTTTATGCACAAAATCTACAAATTTAAATTATCTTTGTTCGTCATTAGTCTTTATTTCTTCTGGACGGAAATCCTGTTTGTCCTTTATAAACAATAACTATTGCTTTCGCTCTCACTACAATAACTGTTGATGGTGACATCAAGAAAAACGACGATGTATATCACAAAACAGCATTATATAAAATAGGTCTCATATCAAGACATAAGATTACGAGTATGTTAAATTCTGAAAATAGATAGAAAGAAAGAAATGATATATAGACACCTTTTTTATATTCAGATTCTATTTTCACCCAAATAATCAATTCTTTTTATTTTATTGAATTGTTCTAACTTTCTTATTTGTAACGGAAAATTGACTTTTGTAGGCCTACAAATGAATGCTAAAATCCAGTACAATATACATTGGCCAAATATTATTGTTGGGTTGTGTTTTTTTCTTATATTGACAATGTTTTCCGATTTCTGACACCATTTTAAAATGTACTCATCCGACAAGAAATGTCCAGAGCGAAATCTAGCTCAACGAAATATATATACATTTTCTCATACAACAAAATATGTGTATTAACAAGGGCGGATCCAGTGATGGGGGGAGTGGGGGGAGCGGGGCGTCACGGGCGCCGAAGCGACCAACGCTGGTCCGGGAGGCCTTCCCCGAAAAATTGTGGAAGCTAGAAGACCGGAAATGCCATGTCCAATGGTCTCAGTCAAGATTCCGGTTGTAAAGTGGTAGGGGGCGACGGATACGCAACTTTCCCCACTAGATCCGCCCTTGATTACAACGAAAATGGGTAGGAATTAGAAATATTACCTATATAGCAAAGACACAACGATTTAATATTATTTGACAAAATAATTTACTAAACAAAAGTTGCTATTTCGGTGTTGTGTTTAAGTATATGGCAAGGTAAGAAGCGAATTGGAGGTTTATTCCAGATACAAAACAATTCGAAATTTTCTAAGTTAATTTATAATTTTTAAACATAAAATATGTACAGAATGAATCTTACCTAATGTCAAGCTAAAGAACATCTGAGTAATCAAAATCTGATAAAATATCGTTGTATATAAAAACAGTCTTTGATGTATTCTACACACTTTCCCAGGGATTAAATAAACGGGCACCTTCAGTTAGTGGTATTTTACGATGACGACAAGGTAATATATTAGGAAGGGGTTTTCCTATTGTTTCGGGTAATATTAGCGCACTAAAACCAACTGTAATAATAAATCCACCAAAGACAACAAATGGTATTGTATAATGAAACGCATCCTGAAACACAAGAATAAGAATTAGTTGTTCATTTAAAACGATATGTCCTACTTGTCTGCGCCAACCGGACTAATGAGGACGGGCTTATGCCATGCAATGTGCTACGAGTAGTGGCATTTCATCAAATTCCAACTATTAAGGGTTCTTTTACAGGCACGGCAACGTGCACAGAACCTCGGTTTTCGTCCCAGCATAACGACGACTACACTGTCCCTTCAACAATCTGATTAAAATACAGATCCTCCTTCGTTTCGTTTTTTATAGTTCAGAATTTAGTTTTACTTGTCTTTAATACACTAGGATCTGGAAAAGTTGTTATATTACCGGCGTTTTGGTTGAAGTTAGGAATTGGCCAATGAAACGGTCGGTTATGGCAACTTCTTGGCGTGCCGTGCACGGAACTATGGGGGTCGTACTAAAAACATCAACGTTGATTGGTTAATCAAATGTCTGACGTCATGGGTCAAAGGGCGTTCGTAAAACCCCTGGCGCGACATCCCACTACAACTGGTCAGATCTTCATGTTGTAGAGGCAATCGAAAGTATAAAAACGAAAAGAAATATAGATCTGTATTTTAATCAGATTGTCTATTTCAGGGCGGAGCCCCCGTGGCATAAGTGGGTAAGACGCTGGCTCGCTAGCCTGGAGGTAGCGTGTTCGACCCCTGCACTGGTCGAGAAAGTTCATTGGGATTTTCCGACGTGGGTTCCCCTTGTTAGTGATGCAGGACAGCGGACTGATAAGAACAGCTGTATTCATACGGTGGTACATAAACCGAGGTAACGTGTATACATTGGCGTGGACGTAAAAGATCCCTTGGCAGTTGGAATTCGATATAAGAGTAGGCCATAGTGCCGCTGCCCGGGTAAAATTTCCCGCATAGCACACTGTATGGCGTATTCCCGCCTTCATTATCCCAGTCGTAGCAGAACAGGAGGACGTTAAATCCCATTTTATTTCGCTTTCTGGGCCCTCCGTCCTGCACCAATGGCAAGATTAGGCTAAACCTTGGAATATACCGAGGTTCTTTCTTGGGATCGAACCTTCTGTTTAAGAACGGCTCAGTTAAATAAGACGAGACATGCTGGGTATTGAAAGTGGTAACCATAACCTGCCTCGTGCAGATTGTTAGTTAAGTTCTTTACATTTAATAAAGCGCCGATTACTGCAGTATTCGGCGACACTGTGTAATTAATAAAATATATCATTTATTATATGTATCTATCCCAATGAGTAATTAATTTGGAAAGGTCCTTTGAAAGGGATACATCTTGTGATTTACAATTTTTCGTGCTGTATAGCGTTTAAAAGCTGTGTAAAATGTTTGGATTTAAATAAATCATTCAAATACTGGGGAGCCAGGTTATATAGACACATGTTAATTATAAACAGTACCAATCATTGGCCTGGTCGTGCATAACAGTAGGACGCTAAAACCACATTTCATCCCATATTCTTTCATTTCAGTTATATACGAAGGTCGAGAGGTATCATTTCCAGCGTCTTTTACAAGTCATTCGTTATTTTTTACTGATGTACATATACCAAGTCAAGATACGTAAGTATGTTTAAATTAGTGTATAAAATACGTTTATTAATTAACGATAATCAAATGCAATTCCCCAATGCCTTGTACAACTTGAAGATGTAGAATCATTAATAATAATCATGGTTTATTTTTAGAAAGAAGTAAAATCAGTATATATAATATAATATAATTGCAGATCATTAACGATCACATGAACGTTGTATGAGTCAAAGGGATATCACAAGGCATACATATCATATTAGTGTTACCAAGATAAAGATTGTTTACCGAAAAGTGTATAATATGTGAATAGTCTTAGGTTTACGCCTGACAGCAATCACGAGATATTTTGTTTTTATCTTTCCCATTATTTCCAGTCTAAATCACTGCTTTCTAACACAATCTTCAATTTCGGTCACTATAGTCACAACCCGTTTAGGAAAAGAAATGAAAAAGCGTTTAACGTCCTACTTATCTTGTTACACATCAACCGTTTCTACTTTTTTTACATAACAATGATAACGTAGTTACCAGGAATTTAAACTGTCTAGACAATATTGAACCAGCTGCGGTAAAAGCTACACCTATAGCAGTTCCCATACATCTGAAACAAAGAACATAAGGCCTGTATTGTGTCGAGCTGAACCAAATCCAATTTTTTTGACGGACCTGTCTGAAAAAAGTAAAACAAGAAGCCGTCTCGCTGCTACCGTTTTGAATAATTATTCGATCAGATGACATTTGCAAGAGGGGATGAGGCAAGAATCAATACAGCGCCATGAAAAGGGTCTCATAAAATAGGAGACCTAATTACATCGTGAACTAAGCCAATACAGATGTCGGATGACGACTTGGTAAGGATCTTCACAATTTGTAGTGGTGCTATTTGTATGGTTGGTCGTCAAAGTGTATTAAATACTTTTATACCTGATAACTGTAGGATACATCTCTATAGCCATTACACTGATGAGAGAAAAAGAAGCCGTCACTCCCAGTTTACCAAACATACATAGTCCCGTTACCATGGTGGGAATAGACTGAAGGTTACCCGTCATATGTAGAATCATCACAGACAATAAAGCAAAACCAGAAGCTACAGCGTAAAGAAACGTACACCATCTTCTACCTAAACTATAATATAATAACAAATAAAAAAAACCCTCAGTATAATCCTAAATAGGAATCAAATATAGGCTGAAACAAACGCCAACCAGCATCTTCGGTGCACGTGCAGCTGCGAAAGGTTGTTACACTGAAAACAAACTTGTGTTGAAACAACACAAACTTGTGTTATTTTCAACACAAGTTAGGTGTCTCTATTTAACAACACAATCTTGTGTTAAATGTTGAAACAACACAAAACTTGTGTTAAATGTTGAAACAACACAAAACTTGTGTGAAAATCTAAAAAAATAAAAAAAACCCTCAGTATAATCCTAAATAGGAATCAAATATAGGCTGAAACAAACGCCAACCAGCATCTTCGGTGCACGTGCAGCTGCGAAAGGTTGTTACACTGAAAAAAAACTTGTGTTGAAACAACACAAACTTGTGTTATTTTCAACACAAGTTAGGTGTCTCTATTTAACAACACAATCTTGTGTTAAATGTTGAAACAACACAAAACTTGTGTTAAATGTTGAAATAACACAAAACTTGTGTGAAAATCTACACATTATTTGTGTTGAAATTTCTGAAACTTGTTTGTGTTGAAATTTCTGAAACTTGTGTTGAAATTTCTGAAACTTGTGTTGAAATTTCTGAAACTCGTGTTGTTTCGTACAAACTTGTGTAGAACAAAAACTTGTGTTGTATTTTACCAATTTATATCCAGTATAGCAACCTTTCGAATGCAACCCCTTCCATTCGTTCTGTTTAAACTGTAATTATTGATAAATGACATAATAATTTTGTTTGTTAAATTATTATTTATTCAATAAATGATATGAAAAAATAAATTAATGCCTAATTAATACCAATACAGACATCTCGAAGGTTAATAAACAAAGTTAATTCCAATACTAATATAATTGTGTTATACAATGAAAAAATACCCCCACCCCCCCATTCCCAATTATTAAATAAAAAGTAGCTATTTAAATTGAAAAATAAAGCACCGAGACATTTGGAATATTAATCAACAAAGTTAATTTCAATACTAATAAAATTGTGTTCAATAGTAACAATATCCCCCCACCCCTCAAAAAAAGCTATTTAATTTTTTTTTACAATTAACCTTAAAAAGAACTGAGAATATAATATATATGTTCACAATATCCCTACCCCATGGTCCCAAAACATACATTTTAAATATATCTAAATTTAATATCAACCAAACCAAGCACTAAAGACATTAATAATGCACTAAATTGAAATACTTTTAAGAAAAAATAGTCCCTTTAACAGATTAGGAATTCAAAATTTTCTACAGTATATAAATGGGAACTAATAGATAAAGCACAGGCAAATAATTATAGATAGATAAAATAAATATAGCATAAAAATCAAACAAAATGGAGAAAATTAAAAATTTGTAAAACAAAAATTGATTAATTAATAAAACCATTTTATATAAAAGAGGCATTAACATTCGAAATGTTCACTAAATGTTTAAAAATAAAGGTTGATTTCATCCTACAATAATACATTTTTATAATTATCGAATGTTACTATTAATTATTGATGATCCCTCTATATTATTTCAAGTTTTCAGGCTAAATCTTTAGTGTTTAGGATTACACTGCATTCTATATAATGAAACAATATTAGAGATGGTTTGGTATTTGACATTAAAAACAAAAATGTGATTAAAAAGGCAATATAACTTTTGGGTTTCCACAATAAGATCTGTAAAAGAATTTGATGACTTTATATTCAGAATTTAGAGTTGTTTTCTTTCTTTGGTATTAATATTCACTAAATAGATATAATTCTCCAAGGATGTTCAAGTGATTATTATAAATACACTTATCGACAAATGGGGTTTTGATGTGGATTTAACTTGGTACACCAGTCATGGGTATAGAGTTATTTAGGGGGCGGGGGAGTTGAAAAGAGCATAATTTAACAATATATTATATTATTTTGAGACTCATATGTATGACTACATGCGAATGCAAAAGGCGGGGGGGGGGGGTATTTTAGTCAGGTAGCATTATTGCTTACTCATGTACACCAAAAACACGTCATCTCGCCTAAACAGATGTTTTACGCCAAAACGCTTCAACTTGATTGATTGCCATGTTTTTGGTGTATATTTATATCTTTTCTTGGGCGCCGAATCGAACTACGGCTTTTAAAATGTTCAAAAATCGACGTAAATTGATTTTTTCAACGTTAGTTGGTATACAACGACGAGCACATGAGTGAGTATAGACTGTGGGAAAGTTACGACAACTCATTTCCAGGCGCCATTTTGGGTCCCAATTATGACGCCATAAAAGCTATGACGTCATGGCTTCATACAGGTTTACATACCAAAATTTGTTTTTTTCTTGCAGTATTAGACGTTGAGGGATAATATAACGTTTTACCCGAAAAAAAATGCAAAAGAAACCAATGCAGTTTGGTTCAGTGATAAATATATCAAACAAAATCATACCCAAAATCGGGGAATTTTCTGAGAGCGATATCTCGTAATCAGTGTGTTTTACTATTTACTCGTTGGATTATAAATGATTTCTTTTTAAATTCCTCAAACACAGAGTGGTTATGAAAGCGAAATGTGCCGAAAAATCGAATTTGACAAACGTCAAATTAAAAAAAAGAAGTGTTTGTTATATGGTGCCGGGCGTTTCTTTCATAATGGCCACCAAATTTGGTAATATTATTATTATTATTATTATTACAGCATATTTATAGCGCGCCCTTTCATAAAACATGTTCAGGGGCACTCTACAAAGTAACAATGTAATCATAAATAAACAACAAGATTATGGACATGTTAACAATTGTATACAGAGTCGGTTAAAAGCCTCATTAAATAAATGTGATTTAAGTTGTTTTTTAAAAGAATATAGAGATGTACAACATCTTAAACTAAATGGTAGATTATCCCATAAAACAGGTGCTTGATAACTAAAAGAGACTAGTTGAACAGTTTTGGGCTTTAAAAATAGTTTATCTGATGTACGTAATGTTCGACCATTATATCGTGGTTATGTACGCGAAATGTGCGGAAATCGAATTTGACAAACATCAATTAAAGAAATGTATTTTCCATGTGGTGCCGGGCATTTCTTTTAAAAGGGCTACCGAATTTGGTAATACATGTATAAGGCAATTTAACAAAAAAAAACATAAATTTGGTAGACTAAAAGGGCATCTCTTAAGATACGTAAGATATGACTTTTGCAATGTCCTTTATATGGTTTTCGATGTCTGTGAATTTGAAAATAAATTTTGAAAATACAAAATAGCAGCAACACCAATTGGCGGATATTAAATTAATCGTCATTTTTCCTGTTGGATATTAGATAGTGTCTCTTAAGCATGATGTACACTGTAGTTCGATGTACCCTTTAGTTCAGATATAGTCTCCAAACCGTGTTTACACTGACTGTAGTTTGGGTGTAGTTCGTCAAATGAAGATGAATTTACGATACAAAAAAATGAATATATTGTAAACGCGCTTTAAATATCTGGATGCGATAGACTTCGTGATAACAAATTCAAGGTACATTATATCATTGGCAATAATAAGATCCAATTTTAGTTTTTAGTTACACACTATTAACCACCAATAGATGTTTTAATGACAATAAATCATAAAATGTATTCAGCTCGACGTAAGACATAAATAGATACAGTTGGTTTAACTTGAATAGAAGTTTTAATTATCTATGCTGCATATATGCATATATCACCTTGATGTTCATATCGTCTTACGTATTTGTCAACATCAAGGTTAGTGCGACCCATTTGTGACAATTTCTAGTTCCCAAATATTAGCGATTTAGCTCCTTTAAAAGCGAATGCAAGTTAAATATGTTTAATCAGAGGCGGATTCAATGGGGGGCGCCCCCCCCCCCCTAATTTTCAACAGTGCCCTTTTTTACGGCTGAAAGTGCCTTTTCTCAGACTCAAATATGTCCGTTCCCAACCCGTTGTAGGGATCCCAAATGACTCGAACCATCGACTCAAACACACCAGTCTGGGAAATAGCTCTTGGAATGGCTACAGATGCAAGGAAATGACGGATAATTTTCTTGGGGACCCCCCCCCCCTCAGCGGCAAGCCCCGTCTCCGCGGTCAATGCCTTCATTTTGCAGCGCCCCCCCTTTTCAAAATTCCTAGATCCGCCCCTGGTTTAATAGTAATTTTATCTAGTGTATCTTTTATTTTGATTTTTCTTATAGAATAAGGCTATATAACAATAATGTGCGCTTCTTGTTGTATAATACTAATATTAGTATGTTCAGCTATACTTTTCGTTTAAAAAATGTATGTTTTATGTCCTATATACACTTATTCGCTGAAATCTATGACATCCAACAATATAATAGGTCATATAAATAGATAATAAGTTTGCATGACGTCATATGAAATTCCTGGCTTCACAGTTGTCGCAACTTTATCTATACACGGCGTTGCGTCGACCAACCATATAATGTGAAGTAGATGTCAATATGGTTATGTGCATAGGCGTACGAGCTGGGGGGGGGGGGCTGGGAACCAAATACTGGGAAAATTTGGGCACACAATTGTACTTTGTAAAAGTTGTATAAAAAAATATTGTGTTCTTAATGTGTCCAATTTAACAGCGAATTTATTATTATTATGTAACATATTAAGAACCTAACTACATTTTTGGGGCACCAACCACCACCGCCCCCCAGTCAAAAATTTCCCCGTACGCCTATGGTTATGTGTAAGAATATTCAGTTCAATATATTCACGGTGTATGATTTTATTCATACTTCAATTTTAGTGAGTTAATTCTGCAACGTTTTTAGAAAAAATTGCTATTAATTTGGCCAGTACTGTAATAGCAAGTGTATAAATATTTTCTGTTCAGTCTGTACACAGTAACATATCTGAGAACCATATTATCATTTCTGCCCAAGGCTCCCTGTGATTTATAGTTAGCAGTGATACAAGGCAATTATAATTTTCCGTGCTCTTGGCCTGAAGAAATAAAATAATAAAAGTCAAGTTTTTATTATTATGCAAGTGGAAAAATACAATTCTTCATGGTATGATTTGAATAAATACAACTGATTTGAAGTTGGAATTATTATTTGTCTAAGATGACTGGGCATTTACAAATTGAAATAGCTACTCTTCATCAAGAAAATACATGAATATTTTTCCCAATTCACCTGGATTTTATTGTAGGTCTTTGTACGTGAAATAGCTTTATTTAACGTCCGCTACCACCGAAGTGGTATTGCAGAAAATTAACAAATTCGGATTCCCTTTTAAAGGAATTAGACTACACTATCGCTGGATTGTATTATATTCAAAATGGCGCCCAGAACACAAAACAAACATTGCAATTCAGGGCGGACTGGTGTCGAGGTTGTATCCTAAGAATGATTTTTTGAATATTTAATCAAACAGAAACACAATTATGCACATGCAGTTATGATATAATATTAAATTAGCTTACCTCAAATACCTCGAAATATACTGTTTGGTCAGTTTGTCCGCCCGCCATATTTCTATTAGTCACACATCCTTCGGCCAATTAAAATGGAGGTATATTTTGTTTTAACCGAAACGAAAAATTTGCGTTATAAATACATTGTATTAAAAAATACCAAAATCACAAACCTGATATTCTTATTTTCTGAACAAACTTTTTTCACAACAATATCACTTTTTTCGATACTAATGCTTAATAATACAGTTAACATTTGCAGTACCACAGGGTTTAATACCGCAAAATTACTTCAATAAATATTTCTTTCTTTGTTTTAAGAGTAATTCATTTTAATTGGTCATTTACAGGTAAGAATAAATTTCCAATTTCGATTAATGAACCAATTAAATTAAATAAAAAGATTAACTCGACTATTTCCACGCCCATTCAAACATTTTTTTAAAACGTAGATATAACACAATTGTTATTGTCTTTGATGTGTCAAGTTTATTGGGGCGATATCAATCAGACACTTCCAAATGCAGACATTGTAATAACCTGTCTCTGTATATTGTCTGAGACAAGATGTGAAAATAAACAAAGAGTAGAATCAGAATAATCTTTTATTATATCTAATTAAATAAATAGTTTATATTTAGATAATAATTGACTAAAACTTTGATCTCTTATATCAGTATACTGTTATAAAATACGTTGTTTTAAAAGAGATATTAAATGCATCGCACGATACAAACATTGCGATTTCTACTTAATGTTTGTAATAATTAATATATCCTTTTAGATAATTAGAAATATTAAAAAATAAATCAAGTGAATTACTCGACATTCAAATTCAGGAAGAGTGGTTTTACATATAGGCTAGTGATAAAGGAACATAATAAATGTTATCTTTAATGTCGACGTAATTAATTATATGGAAAAAAAAACACATAAGATTTTATAAATGTACACAAGTTTGTGTTAAGACATTGAAAAAAACACAAACTTGTGTCATTGCAATGCAATACAACACAAACATGTGTTAAATATTTTTAACACAAGTTCTTGTGTTGAGATCCAACACAAGGGTTTTTTCAGTGTATAAACCAGTAGTGTCAATAGCTCACCACAATTCCTGGAAGTTTATGGCAACACAAATGACAACGGTCCTAGTCACTGGGCAAGGGTTAGTAAAGTAATCAAAGTAATTATCATGGTCATCAAGAAACCGTGCGACCCGACGAAAATCCACGAGAATAGGCAAGCAACCCTACCCTTGATCACTACATGCTTGGGATCGAAACCACAGTACGCCATTTGACACAACGCATATCTTATGATCTAAATGACACGCGTTATACCACTCGATCACCCAGCATCTTAATTTAGAAGCACGAAAATCGCACAGTTCTTGTGTCTGAACAGGCGAAACAAGCTAGTGTACCGAGGATAGCGTAAACTTCTTTGAACTAGCTTCACATGGATGCACTCAACTCTATGTCTACAATATGCATAAGCCTAAATGTCAAGGCGAGTTGATCTACGCGAACATTTTTTATAATAATTACAATTCAGTCATCCCAAAGATCGTCCATGTACCGAGAGGCGGACCAGACCCATTTCTTTTAGGGTCTTACCTAAAATCACCCACACGGAGAGTCAACTGGTTGGAATATTGTAATGTTACAAAGACCCTGAAGGCGGATAAATAACGTTAGAATGTTAGAACGTGGTTTAAACAGAAATCTCTAGGCATAAGTTGAGAAATAAATTGATAAGCACAATGTAATGATAATATTGTAAACGGCATTAATCCCAAGAGGCGTCCCGGTGGATCATATTTATTATTCATTGTAATGAGGACATACTACAACAATAAAAGATAAATGCGACTAGAAAAGAGATGATGGATACCTTGTGTATTCGCACCTGCGTAAAGTAAACCATTGTTCTATTATAGGTACGCGCTATTATGTTTTGTATCGACTGGTGTCGTAATATATTTACATGTATTACATGTACACTCCTAGCGTATAATAACAAAACATGTTTCACAATAAAAACATCTGATAGATATGAGCAGTTGACATTTCAAATTATTAGCCAATATATAGGGCCTACGTATTAAACTCCTACACCATGCACATAATCTTTCATTATATATATTTTGCAAGTGTTTTATACCTAATATTTCTCAACTGTCATTAAATTGTGTAAGAATAATATAAACTGCCCTACAAAACTACATTTCGCAACTTATATTTGTTATTAAAAGTGGTTATAATTCTAAGTGACATGTATTGCTATTGAATTTATGACATCAAATCATTTATAACTGTTCATCCACTTGACAGTGTCACTCCCGCTATTGTCTACAGACCTGCCAAGCCTTCGCTGAAATACAGATATCTTAATATAAAATTTACTAGCCCTACATGATGATTAGATTGGGTTAGTTTATTTTGAATATGATATTATTCAAAATTTATAAAATTAATGTCTTGTTGGTGTTTAAAATACATGTACCTATTTAAAAACCTGTTCGTTGTCAGAAAATAAGGCAATTACTACAAGTAATTGACCTCATCCAAGTTACAAAGTACAAATGGCTTTAATCACTAGATTTTAATACAGACCTGGTCCATTTTCATCACCATACCATGTGGTAATAGGTGTCGGGGCTTATAATACATGTCATAGCTACATATTAATTAAATATTAACATATTTGAAATAAATCAACAGTTACCATGGCAACATGTAATTGATATTACTTACCATTTATTTACAACTATAGCACTCCAGGTTAATGGAAGATCAACAATAAAAGGTAAAACAGTATCCACGTAAACATTACCGGTTATATTACCAATCTTATTATATAAATAAAAATATACCGTAGAAGCTATCAAACTGAAAATATAGAAAATACAGGAATAAAGTAATTTCCATCGGCGGTAAATAATTTTAGCAGTTAAACGGTAAAGTTGTGACCTACAAATGGCCAAATTTTACATAACTGCATTTTAAAAAAATGTACATGATTGTATTTTAACTATTCTACAACTATTTTCAAAAAAGCTTGTAGCATTTCATACAGATGCAAATACCTGCTTTCCTCCGTTGATTTGAGGACCGGGTGGGTTGAGAATGTGCTAAAAATGCATAGGCAGATGTAACGGCTAATTTTATTGAGATTTTAAAATGTTTTATGATTGCATCATTTTATATTGTACCATGGCCATGGGTCACATGCCTACCCTCGTGGGTTTCGTTCGGGAACCTCCAACTACTAAAGATCTCCGCGAGTAAGCGAATTGCTGAAATAACATTACACCATACGTTTGTACTTAAAGGACACTGAACCTCATTTCTCTCTTTCCCTCGGCTTTTAAACGAAGGGGTTTAGCGGAGTTAGCTCCCTTTATATAGTTATCAAGCGTTTTTCGACTACGACACGACGTCATCGGCCACTCTGTCCAATAATTGAATAACCATGCATATAGATTTCACACCTCTATCTCTATATCGACTACACTACTGAATTAGCCTATAGATATAGCCGTGACCATTAAATGCATTCGTTTTCCTTCAATAACTTATTTCAAAACCTCTAAACCAACGACATATTTTTTTGGCCGATGCTATCACTGGTGCATGTATAGCCTACTATACTGAAACTTACCAAGAATAAGCTAGCGCTATCGTCCATTTTGTTAATTCTATTGTATGAAACAAATGTATATAAGAATAGTTTTTTCTGTGCATGGTATTAGAAACATTAGTTCTAGCTGTATCTAATAAACTTGTTAATTCAGCTACAGGTTTTGTATTACATGATATCATATCTTTAACAGAAGCCTCAGCAGCTTGATACTGATGACTACACAACAACCACCGTGCACTTTCTGGTATTATACTGAAATCATAAAAAAATAACCAGTCTAAGCTAGTTTAAAATCGGATTCAATGGATTTTTATTTTACATAAAACTTAGACATAAGTTCTCATTGGGGTTTGGTATAAGGATGAAACCAATGGCACTTAAAAAAAAGAGTGTGATGAATTCTAGTCCACACTTACAATTATGAAACAGGCTTATAATTTGGATAAATTGACCTATTGCCATAAAAAGAAGTCTATAGCATTTCAAAAATGAGTGTGATAGATTCTGGCGAATCAGTCTGGATGACGATCGGATTCGATGGAATTGGTTTTTAAAAGTTGAATCTCTCGTTCGTGTTGGCAGAAGGCAGAAACCTACAGCTTTGTCAGACCTCTAACTACAATTGCTTTTAAAATAAGGAATAACCGAGGTCCGGTGTATGCAATTCGTCGTAAGTTAAGGAACCCTGGCAGCTGGAAACCGAGCTGTAACGTGGATGTTCCGCATTAGACCTTAAAAGTAAAACTCCAGTTCATTTCATGTCCGTTTATAAATTCAATGGTAAATTACGCTTGAATTACATTGCAGTAGAACGTGTGATTACCAATACCGTTTATATTACTTCTTTAAGAATGCACGGAATTTGTAAAAGAGACCGAGATCATTTGGGTTAAGAAGGGTTTTCCATTTCGTTCGCTCTGCCTTATTATACATCTAATAGAAACTTACTAATAAAATAAGGAATAACCGAGGTCCGGTGTATGCAATTCGTCGTAAGTTAAGGAACCCTGGCAGCTGGAAACCGAGCTGTAACGTGGATGTTCCGCATTAGACCGTAAAAGTAAAACTCCAGTTCATTTCATGTCCGTTTATAAATTCAATGGTAAATTACGCTTGAATTACATTGCAGTAGAACGTGTGATTACCAATACCGTTTATATTACTCCTTTAAGAATGCACGGAATTTGTAAAAGAGACCGAGATCATTTGGGTTAAGAAGGGTTTTCCATTTCGTTCGCTCTGCCTTATTATACATCTAATAGAAACTTACTAATAAAGTCCCACGAGTGGTAATGTAAAGGCTCCGGATACAAATGCCAATAATTTCCAATTCTTAGAGAAAAATGCTTGAATGGATAACACAATGGCACCGATAGTCCAGAAACCAGACAACATACAAACATCTCTCCATTCATAGCCCAAATATTCTATAGGCATCACTATACTAATAACAATAAAAACACCTAGAAAAAATTAATACAAATTCACATCAAGTTAATTAAACTCCAATTCGACATGTAAAAATTTAAAGCAAATTTGATTTCTAGAAAGTTGAAAGCGAAAGGCGCATTTATATTTGAATCTTTTGTTTGTTACTTAAAACTGCACCCATTCCTGTGGCAATTTCTAATTTACCGTTTCAAATCTGTCCACCCAAAGCAGAGCTGCGTATAGTTTGAAAGGCACGATTCGATTCACGATGTTGCCTTTAAAGCTTATTTGGCTCCATGTTACGTATAGGCAGGTCTGAAATATCATTGGAGCGACTTTACATTCCCCATATATGTATCAACGTCAAGCGATTGTTTAACCTAGATTAGGTATTCTAAAATTCTTATTGACAATATTAATAACACTATTTATGGCTTATTTTATTTATAATCAAAATAATGGGGAAAAAAATATTGGTTTTCTGTCATGCTGATGGCTAAGTGGGAGATAAAACACGAAATTTCTATTTCAAAATTAACCACGGGACAATTCACTTTTTTTTAATTACGTTTTCATATGGAACAATTCGTTGCATTCTATTTTAACGAATTGATATTTCTATAGAGTGTTAAATTTTTAACGTGTCAAAAGCACAGTTTAATTATGGAATTGTCTCTAAACAAAATCCTTTCTTCTAGAATAATTTCTTGTATTGTGTTCTTAAGATTGACATTCTTATAGCTTTGACACTACGCAAGGTGCCAAACTCGCTTAAACCAGGGATGTATACACAACGCAGATCCTTGCTTAAAGATACATTATGCAAGATTTAAATAAAAATCTGAACGTTCCTGTTATAATAGTTTTAAAATCAATAATGAAAAATTAAATACATGTGAAAATTTCATTCAAATTACTTTATTCTGATCGACGTTATAAGTGTTTGAAGTTTTGACAAGAAATAGCCATGATAATAAAAGGTCGATTGTCAGTCCTTTAAATAGTGGCGTCCATATTAACGTCAATCGATTATATGGCGCGACTGTTCTAATCCATTCAATATCCCAGCCATCCGATAACTAGAGAATTGATTATGGGCGTGTCATGTGAATAAATATGTAAATAATAATTTATATACATTTGAAGCCACAAAATGAACACCAATAGGCAGATTTAGCTCTCAGATAATGCATATTTAATAACGGGTTTTGTCTGAGTAGCGCCGAAGAATATTTCTCGCGTTTCTATAATAAAATCCCGTTAAATAAAATTAGAATGTGCAAATCTGAATTCATAAAAATTGATTTCTATTAAAAATTTAAATAAGACAAAAAACGCAATTATTTTAACTCAAATGCTGGCACCTCACCTTTTATCTTATTTATCAAAATTTAAATTCAGCCAGAACTAATAATGCATCTAAAGTAAAGAATGTGAAAAGTGGCATTTAAGTGCCCAAAAGAATGATATATCTCTTAATGTTTTTGATAAACTACAGATTATGTACCTGCCGTCACACCAACGATAAATCTGAGAGATATCAAAGCTTGCCACGAGCTGATCGCCCCACAGACACCGTGGAAAATCAACATTAAAGGAAAGAAGGTAAACATCACTTTACGGCGACCAAAATTATCGCCAAGAATTCCACCACACAATGCCCCAATAATAACGCCAACAGCCTGACTGTAAGTGGTAATTTCTGATAATTCTCCAGCATCTGCCTCTTCTAACCACTGCCAAAAGAAGAAAACAAGTCATAAAGTGGCAAAGATAACAAGTTGACTATGTTCTCAAATGAAAGATAAGATGTCCAATTTAATTCTCTACTTGTTAACTGGAGGGCTACAGACTATTCATCTCCATTCTTTGTGTACTTTCTTCAAAAATTACATCAACTTTGATAACGAAATGATGGAATTAAATTACAAAGATAGAATTCTACCGTGTTCTTATCTGATCAATACTGATATGTTGTTGAAGGATATATTCGACAGAACTGGGTAATTGGGCATTTTGTCCTGACTAATAGGTCGTTAACTGTGTTTTAGATAATTCCTGACAGATTAAACAAATAACAAACAAAATCCATGTAATCCACTCTTGTAATTGGTCAAGCAGGAATTGTTTTGTCTTTATACTCTATTTCAGTTTTTAAAATTTGATAGCAATCGGAGAAGAAAAATCTATGTTTTAAGTGGAAGAATTGGTTCATATACAAATAAAGCTGACATTATGTAACACAATGACATTGGATTTGAGTTTGCATTGAATAACAGAGCTGTTGGACTGGCGTACCCAATCCAAGGAGGCTTGAGTTCATTTACATTTTGGTACAATTGTAAACGGATTGAGTTGTTGCCGGGTTGTTTTGAGTCAGTGTAGGATAACACAAATATCAAAATTGCATTAAACAATTCCGCATTAGTTAGATGCCAATAAAACCCCGGTGAAAAAAACTGTAAATTTAATCAAATTGAATATTTTATTTCTTTTAATTGGATTTAAATATATACAGCTATTCCTCGGTCTATAGATTATACTATTCACTGTCTTGCAACTATCTCTATACTAACTGATTGTCAAGGCAAACTCGATAGTAACTCAACTTGGCTCAAACGGAGGCAGGCCACCATTAATTCCCCCTTTGACTTCAATGTTAATTCTGGTCTCTTTGCCCGGCACCAACTTTTCCCCAAATTTTCGTTGGGCTGAATGCTTTTCACTACAGACAGAAAAACAAATGGTCATGTCTTTGCACCAGAATTTGTATGAGAATCACCACCAAAATTTTGAGATACACAACCTTAAGTAGCATATTAAAAACATGTAACCAGCCTGTTAACTCTATTATCCTTCCGCCTCTAAATCATGAATATTTACCAAAACCTGACAGAAAATGTTAATTCAAACCCATTTTGTCCATTCTAGACCAAAAACTCAACAAAAATGGACATGCAAAGGGAGAAAAGAGAGGGAGGGGGGGGTGCTATAAATAGACGAACTACAATAGAGCGAAATTTAATGGTGGTCTTCCTCCAAATCTAAACTTGAAGTGAGTTAAGTATACTTCTATATTATTCTAAATATAGAAGTCTATGAGTACTTGTCAAAACGGTAATACATAACAAAAACATCCAGTGACCAAAATGCAATTAAATTGAATTATTAACGGGGAAAGAAACAATCTAATTTTAGGAAGCAGTACAAATTTTATAAAGTGTGTCACTTGTGTGAAACAGTTCTGGAAATTGTTTGAGAGATGACGGTGAATGCATCAAATTTCCTCTCAAGATTTCTCAGGAATAGCTATATATATATTTAAATCAAATGAAAAGAATATAATATTCAGTTTGATTAAGTTTACAATTTTGGTCACCGGGGTTTTAATGAAGTTTACCCATTACAGAATTATTTAATGCAATTTTGATATTTGGTGCTTTTTGGTGACTGAGATTTTGGATTTGGTTATTGCATCGGATATTTAACTGTACTCACCGTTGGAACATCAATAGTTATTTTAGAGAGGA